CTAAACATTCTTCTAAATCGTGGTATGATCGGAAAATATCGCAAAACTTTTGCAGGTATCCCTTTTTTAATCTTCTTAGTCCGTTCATTAACTTTCCACCGCGAAGATGCACATTTTGGACATGTCTCCAAATTCTCTAGATCCTTTCTAAACAAACAACAATCATTTACACATGCATGTATCTTTTCATACCCTAAATCAAAGGTGTTCAATAACTTTTTTGTTGAATTGCAAGAATCAGGAAGGGTGTTTCCATGTGGTAGCATATCTCGAAGAATATCAAGAAGTTCAGTGAAACCATTGTCAGATATACCATGTGTAGCTTTAAGCTTATATAAGACAACGATTGCAGATATCCTTGTATACTTTGTGCAACCAGGATATAAAGGAATTTCGACGCCTTCATATAACTTTGAAAAATCTTTCTGTCTATCTTCATTCTCAGGCTCTACAATATTGTCATCATGAAAAAATGCATCTCTATACATCCTATACGTCTCTAAATTTTCTACATCTTGAGGAGGCAATGATGCTACATTCGATTTTTCCCCATGAAACACCCAGGTAGTATACGTAGGATCCATGCCATTAATGATCAAATGTCCATACATTATATCAAAATGTTGGTGAAATAGGTTTTTGCAACATTTGCAAGGACATATGACCTTTTTTGGATTCCCAGCATTGGCTTGCACCATATCTGCAAATTTTCTTGCACCCTGTTGATATGCCTTCGAAACTCTATAAAAATAATGCTAAATAAATCATCTAAAAAGCATTTATTGACATATTTAAAAATGTTCTAAATTTAAGAGGACAAGATAACCTTGATAAGTGTACCCAATCTTTATCCATGATAATATATCAACATCATTAAGTTACAATCTGTTGTAACACAGTAAAAATGAAGCAAAAAACGATTATATTAGGGCATTATAGAAATCAGGTTCCAATTAGGTAAATCATGGTGACAATAAAGTTTCACACAAACTAAAATTACAAAAAAATAATTCAAACCTGAATTAAAATAGGGAACACTGGAACAGTCACAAACTCCTTCAATACTACTGCAATCTGTTGAGAAATTAATAAAGAACTTGGTTAAAATAGGCAACACAGAGTATATTAGTGAAGGTTCAAACGCCACTGATGGGAAGATAAAGGAAGAAGAGAGGAAAATTGGCAAGTTGTAGGATACATGAATATGGCACAAAAGAAANAAACGTGCATTGCACGTTGCTTAAATCTAGTATTAGAAAATATGTCTATATATTTGGAATAAGAGAAAAAGGAAACACGATCTATATAATTGGGGTGAAGGGAGTACAATTTTAATGGTGTTCATGTTTTTCACCTTTAAACTATTTATGTAATTGTTAATTTTGACGCGGGCATATTAGTCTTTTTATTTCGAAATGGACAACATTTACTGCGCTAAGAACCGCCAATCATTGTTGATGTAATTTCCGGTCTAAAAATTCATAAAGAGATCTTTATTTCTACTTTATATATCACCATCCTCCGCGTTCTTATCATTTCCAGTTTATACAGTTTCAACAAAAATGAACTGAAATTCTTGAATCTTCTATATCTTCTTCCTCTGATTTAGCGGATTCATTTAAGAGAGAGCAGAAATAAGAGAGGAGCCATACAGGGCTCTCTGAAATGTATATGATATTCAAGTGCTTGATCATAGGCGGAGAGATTGTTGAAGAAGGCAGAGGTTGGGAAAAGGAAAGATAAGAAAAACCCACCAAGATCTGTTTATCATACATCTGTTTCATTCAATCCATCAGGTAAAATCCTCTCATGATTTACTTATTTGTTCCAAGATCTATATTTGGTTTTCAAATATTAATCTTCAAGTATGTTTTTCAGTTTAACTGCTTTGTTTTTTTTTTCAATACGGCCTTCACATGTTCGATGAAAAGCTAGACAGGCGCACAATTTTCATCAACGTGTAACATCGAATCTTGAAATCTAAAATCTTAAGTGTTAGATGGAACAAAGATATTTATTTATTTTTTAAAATTTTGTCTTTAACATTATCTTTATGTATATATGTTAATTAGAGAAAGTTTCATTTAACAAATGACCACTGCTGCAATGTCTGGTATTGAGATTGGTCTAAAACCAGCAAATATAATGAAGAGAAGTGACCTTGAGATTGCAATATGTGAGTGCTGTGGGCTGACAGAGGAGTGCACGGAGGCTTATGTGGCGTGTGTTCGAGAGCGCTACCAGGGGTGGTGGATATGCGGGCTGTGCGCAGAGGCAGTGAAGGATGAGATTGTGAGATCAGAGAAACGGATTGGAAATGAGGAGGCTTTAAATCAGCACATGAGTTTTTGCAAGGAATTTAAGAGTTTAAGGCCACCTAAGAATTCAACTGAGGAACTCATTTCTGCTGTCAAGCAGCTGCTTCTGAGGAGCTTAGATTGTTATTGAATAAATGCTGCTTAAAAGTAGCATGAAAGTGTTTGATTCTTAGAAATTTAGCATTAGATAAGAATGTTCCTGTCCCATTTATGTTAGTATGGTTAATGTAATCAATTGCTTGGTATTGGCAAAGATTTGATTGAATAATGAAGTGTTTGGCAGTTGATGACTATGTTGTCTTCTTCAATTTGGCTGCCAAACCCCCGTCTTTCTTTTCATTTAAGGGATGTTGTGTGCATCTAATTTTTAGTATGCAAATGAAACCGGAGCAACCTAATTTTCGAGTTCTTTAAAGAAATCGGAGAGAATTTTCTTTATTTTCTTTTTCTCTTTTCTTGGCTCTGATTTTGTTAATTTAATGGCAGCAGTTGAGATTGAAAGTATGATTAGTCTTTCAATTGGTCTTCTTGTTGCATAATGGAATATTTTCGATTTAATTTAGACACTTCTCATTTGTGTTATTTCATTAGAAAGAGAAGAAAACATAGAAATCACCGTTATAGAATTGCTATGTCCTTGATTTTGATTGAAACTCAAGCACTTCATTCTTGTATCTTTAGATATATGTGGAATGTTTTGTGTCTTAAGGTTTGACAAATGACAAATTTGAGGTTCCAAAAATGGTTAACACAAGGGGCATTTTGGTGAGGTAGATTAGAGAATACTGGACAGTATTAAGAAGGATTTCTACTACGGTCTAATATGTACCAAACATGCTACATGTTTGGATTTCAGATCTTGTGATGCTTTAGGAGGGGATTATTTTTGAGTTTTGTTCCTCGTCTGTGCAAAGAATTAAATGCAGCAGAATTACAAGAACAATTTGTTCTGTAGGAGGTGAATAGGGAAGAAATAGTACTGGAAATGCAGGGATTCCAATGCTTTAATTCACAAAAGTTGGAGAA